GTCCAGAACCTTAAAGTCGGTCCAGAACCTTAAAGTCGGTCCAGAACCTTGTAGAACTGCCTGCTGTGTCCTAAGGGGAAAATTACAACCTAAATTTCTGTGTAGTTTTTAAAACCTGATGGAAAATTTCATGTTAATTAAAAAACAGTGATTTTATCGAACTTTCTCATTGAGATCCACGTCTTTAATACATAAAATCATGTTTGAAAAACTGTTTTTGTATTTTTTCTGGTTGTTTTTGGAGATTTGTTTGTTTTTTGTTAAACTGAATAAAGTCTGAGGCTGTAAATACTTTAAATACTTTAAATACTTTAAATACTCTTCATCAGATGTTATGCAGTAAAACATTTGAACGTCAGTAAATCGGTTCTGACCCAAACATGTTGTCCTGATTCTCTCGCTGCTTTAACCTCAGATAAAATTCAAGGTTTCTGTATTTCTAGTCTCAATATGGTGATCAGAGACTGGAGCCGTTTTCCTGCAGGAGTCCAGAAACCCTTCATGGTGGTTCTGATAAAAACTGGTTTCATTTCATTTCCAGCCTCAGACCTTTATCTCTTTAGCATCTTGACCCGCCGCCTGCAGACGGAGCTTGTTGCATTTTTGCTGCATGCTTGAACAGGAGAGGGGCGTTTGGGGGATTGTTCAGCTGGTTGCAGTTCACACTTTTAGCTTTCAGATAAACTGTGTAGAAACCGTCTGTTCATTCCCGCTGCGGCTCTGAAGCTGCAGCCTGCCTGTTTGCTCTAACTGTCCGTGTCGTCTCCGTTTAGGACTGGGTGACGGCCACAGACATCAGAGTGACCCTGAACAGGCTCAACACGTTCGGAGACGAAGTTTTCAACGACCCCAAGGTCCTCAAGTCCTACTACTACGCCATCTCTGACTTCGCTGTGGGAGGAAGGTAAACACGAGTTAAACATTCACCTGCCGGCCGGGTTTCCGCCTCCTCAGACAAAAGAGCCTCCAGTGAATGGAGAAGGTGGATTTACAGGTCCTGATCCGGCCTGTGTGGCCCGCTGCCCTGACGCCGGCCTCATGGGGGCAGAGCGGGTTGGACCCAGAGCCTCTGCAGCCATAATCTGTTTGAAATGCAGAGCAGATTCCATTACACATCCAGCATTCCTGACATTCCTGGCTGGCAGGGCCGGATTACAGGGACGGGGCGCTGCCCTGACGGACCAGAGGCCCGCAGAGCGCCGCAGGCTGCGCTCACCGAGGTGCTGAGCGGGCCGGGCCGGGTCACCTGGTTGGACTTTAACCTGATCCATGGACTCATCCTGCAGTCCTGCTGCCTCCGTTCACACAGAAACAGGTTCACTGCTTTAATGTAACATTTACTGGATGAAGATGATTTAAAACCAACAAACTACTTTAAATCTCTGTTTTGGCTCTGCTTCTGTTTTGTAAATTAGATTTTGATACTCATCATTAGTTTATGACTCAAGCAGCAGAAATTAAATAAATGCACATTTAATGACATCATTTTTAACCTCATTAAAAAATAAATGTAATCAAATAAATGTAGTTAAATCTCAAAGTTTGTCTTCAGTCTGCAGCTGAGCTGCTAAATGTTTATGTCGCCTAAAGTTAAAATCATGTCTAATTTCTAACATTAGTTGCTAATTTTGACATTTAAATGATGCTTTAAATGCCAGAGGTGGATCAGAGTTGAGCTAAGTAGGTTCATGCTAACAGCCGTGTTGTAAAGAAAAGTCACAACTAAAAACCAACTAATTTAGCTGAAAAGTAGTTTTTGACCTAAACTAACAAGTTAAAACTAACTGGAGCTAAAAATATCAGTCATTTATATACAGGTTAATTTTTCAAACTGACTTAACTGTTTAAATTTATCACTTGTGATATGAAAGGAAATGATCTCAGGATAACAGCTTCACTAAATCCAATGATTGCTCAGCATTAACTGTGCTAACAGCGTTAGCTTAGCATGATGACCAGGCATTCTGTAGTTTCACAAAGATTTAATGTTTCAAGAATCGCGTTGGTCTTCTCAAATTATTTTCACCCAGCTGACTGGCAGTGTGCAGCATCACGTTGGGGAGGGGCAGAGTTGTTTTCTCAGGTGTGTGAAGCATAAAAACGATGTGATGAAGAATC